ACCAATGCAAGCACAAAGGTGACCATGACTTTTGGCATGTTTGCTGTCGTTTTCTTCCCAGCGTTACATGATCTGTCACGACTGCTTTCTAGCCAATAAGCTGTATAAAAGTAGCACAGAGCATGTGGAGTTTGGCAAATCATACTAAAGAGGATTGACAGGTTTGCAGCTAGATAAAGTGGTAAAATTACACCCCTTTGGAGCACGAGTTGCAAGCTCCATTCCCACTCGGTATCCAGTAAGTGTCCTGGCTAGACCCCCCATGCTAAAACTTAGCCCTGGAATGGCGCAGCTACGTCGGCAGCTTGTCCGCAGCTCGGACACAAGCATTTCACTACATGTTGTACTGTGTATGTGACAAATGAAATTTGAATTTGATTGGTCACTTCTACCGACAGTGCAGAGCTGTGTGTTCTGCAGTAATACAACATCTGTCACTGCAAACTTTGCAACAATATTGCAAAAAACCCGACTTACTCTGCATCTACTCTCCAGTACAGTCGTTCTGTTACATTATCTTTTTCAAATGTTCTATTTTAAAGAAATCTTACGACGTGTAGATGATAGATAATTCCAGCAGCGCATTATGTACAGACCCAGTGTCTGATTATAATAATCTCAAATTAATTAGGACACTTGCTTTAAATGCTTTTTTTAGATTTATCAAATGTCACTTGCTGAGCAGTTCTTACCTTTCAAAGTCACTAATCGTCTTCTGCTCCTGTTCTCTCTTTCATGCATGTTAAGAGCTGTTATCATTCAATCCACACAATACAGCTACCTCTAGATGGAAGCCCTACTTGTGCTGCGCAGGAACAGTTTATGTGATTGGACACATTTGTGGAGCTGTTTGAAATGCTGCATTTTAAATTAACTGCCACTTAACTGCCGTGTGCATGCCGAAGTTTGCTAATGTCGATTTGTTGATCTTTGCAGCATGAATCACAGGTTTGTGATGGAAAAAACAAAGATGTGTGAAGTGTGCAGGAGAAAACTGTGACAATCATTCCTGAACTATTGAGTGAGAATCTTAGTGGCAGAAGAAATGCACGGCTGCAAACAAAGAATGAGCTTGCTTTATATTATCATCTATTAAATGCTGTTAATTATTGATCTAATTACTCTAATTACACATGTTGGCCAGAACAGGTGCCCCATTCCTGTCCTGGCCAACTTTAACCTCTGGAAACAATTAGGGGAGTTCATCTTGATGTCAGTTCAAGAGGTGGGAGTAAATCTACTCTGTCGTTTTTAAAAATTATTAAAGTTTCAAACCAGTTTTCTACCTAACAGGTAGTAGGTGTAGTGTAACACAGATGGGAATGATGCTCGCTTCTCTTTGTAAATTTGTTAAAAGTCTGGCACTCAAGGTTTGAACTTGCTAGAGGCAGAAGATGGCCTTTTGGCTTAGCCCCAAGTAGAGGGAATTTCACTAGTACAGATATGACAGGATTGCTTTTTCAAAGGTCCATTTGAGTTTTAAAAAATAAAATAAAATTCTTCAATGGTAGCTGTGGCTCAGGAGCTGCAGCGGGTTGTCTATGAACCGGGAGGTCAAAGGGTTGATTCCCCAGCTCCTCCAGTCTGCATCTCAAAGTTTCCTTAGGTAAGATATTGAAACCTAGATGCATCCACTGGTGTGTGAACGTGGGCACGGCTGTTGGACAAAGTGCTTAGATATAGAAAAAACTGCGTGTGTGATTGAGTGAGCGAGACCGGTAGTCAGAGTAGAAAATCACTATATACTAGTCCAGTTATCAGTCGTGACCTCTCTGAAAGGTCACGACTGATAACTGCCCCTTTGATCAGTTCCTTGACTCAGCATTTCCTTTTAATCTGTCTCTCAATTGAGCTGAAAGCCAAACAGGCACACACAAACACATCTCATTATTACACCATAAAATATTTAATATGGGAAGGGTCCCTCGGGCCACCAGAACTGATGGATCCATGAGAATAACTGAGCACAAAGTAATAAATAGTGCATTTTACAGTGTTTGCTTAGCTACATGACAGGAACCATTAACCGAATAAGCAGTAGCAAAATTTTCCACTTGGCGTTCACACATGCGCGCACACAAACACGTCTATCTGCAGCTGATCACCAATCAGCAGCCAGAGTGTAGCTGTGCTTGTATCTTGAACAGCAGATTGTGCAGTGCATGTGCAGGCATGCTATTGACGGCTTAGATTAATGAAAACTGATGAGGTTTTGTGACGACTCTTGACATTGTTTACTTCACCCCATCAAATCTGGTTTCTGATCTGCGAGGGTTCCTCATTCTGGAGGACAGCAGCCTTGCTTCCAGCTCTGTTTCTCCTTTCTCACAGTGATGCTGCTTTCATGTGCATCATTTGAAATAACTGATAGAAACAAGCCCAGTGGAGTCTTTTGAGGATTGCAGAATGCCTGCAAATATGGCAGGAGTTCTTACTTTTTGAGTGTTTAATGTTTGATATTGGGTAGTTTTTGAATTTATCCTGCAGGTACTGGATATATTTTGGTGTTTGCTGTGCTTTTATCTACCAAAGCTGAAAATGTCTTTAAAGTTTTATCTGTCTTTTTAAGTGTTATCTTTAGAAGTGTAGCTGTGGAAGAAATACGAAAACCTCAAAAAGAGTAAGACCAAGCTAAAATAAAATTGTCAGTTAAAATCCAAAATCCTTCAATCACCAGAAGTAGAAATTATGTAGTAATGAACGTATTTGAACATGCACATTCAGTTCATTACATTTTATGTTGTAGTTGATCTCCACAGCACAGCGACAGTATGACACTTATTCAGATCTTGTTTTTAATTAAAGAGATGCATTAGAACAAAAGTAGTGCAAATATTTAAAAAATTTAAAGCTTTAGATCTGTAAAAGGGGTAAACTTAGGAGTAATTGTAACAAGGAGTTATAGTTCCTTCTCTCTCCCCAACCAGTCGCAGCAGATGGCCCTGCCCCTCCCTGAGCCTGGTTCT